TAAACTTCATGCAATATGATGTATAGGCGGACTTAATGCCTCAGGCATTCTCTACCAGTCAACCTTTGAGTGTTGCAGAAATAAAAATATGAAGTAGGTGTGTGAAATGTTAAAAGATAGAAATATAAATATAAATTAAAGTATATAAATATAAAACAAAATAATACATAAACTTACATATAAAAAATTAATTTAATATATGCATAGTATTATATATAAATTATGGTTTTTTTTTATAGGAGAGGGACAAACGAGCATGCGGCTCACCTGATGGTAAGTGATTACCGCCGCCCATGAATAACTGCAACACCAGGGGAACCAGGTGAATTGCAGATGCGTTGCCGGCCTTTTAAAAAGGAGTAGGCTCTTTTCTGGAAGGTCCCGAAGTCATATCGGTCCGGAAAATCGCTGGTGGTAATCGATTCCACAAGGAAGTTGTGCGAGGAAGAAAACATCTTCTAAATCGCACAGTGGTGGACCGCCAATCATCCAGATGGTGTGGATGCTATCGAGAGTTCTGCCGCAATGTGCGTTCATGAAATTTGGTGGCTGGGATTAATCCGAACAATTCCTCAGAGCACTCCCCGTGGTAGATGCGAAAGAAAATGCAAAGGGATGCAACATCTCTTCGCAGTGCCAATGAGTCGAGCCAATCGGAAAGGACTCTGTCGTCGACGATTCGAGCCGCTCTGCGGTCAAGTGGAAGGAGCTGGCACTGGGGAGCCCCTGCCCAGAGATGGGAAGACTATTCCAAGTGAGGCCGAACTTGCGCCTTGTAAAGTTGCAGGCGGTGTGCCGGCATGAAATACTGTCCCGCCTTGCTGAGCACGCCAAGCTATTTAGAGCCCAATTTGACCTTCTCTTCCAAGTGATCACGAAACTGTACGTCACTCGATATATCGACGCCGAAGATTCCAATACTGGATGAGGCAACAAGGGGAGTGCCTTGAAACTGAGGAGATACGACAAAGGGGTTCTCTTTAGCGGTAAACACGCAAACTTGTGTATTCTGTGGATTAAACTGGACTAGATTTAGTCGCCCCTAATCCGAGACTTTGTTCAGCAAAGACTCGACTTCAGACACATGTTTGTTCCGGTACTCGGCGACGTTTTTCCGAGAAATATTGGCACGGCCGGTGTATAATAGAGCGTCACCAGTTCGCTGTCACCGTCGCATAGCAATGAATGTTACCATGTTACCGGTTTGCAATACATCATTGATATGCAGAAGAAACAGCGTTGGTGATAGCACGTTTATATGGACTGGCGATCTGCCCCGGCTTCGCATATGTGATTCCTGCATCTCGACAACAGCGCTACCTACCGGGTCCAATTGTAAATATAAACCATGCAGGGACCCACTTAAACGTACAATTTTTTTTTATATAAAAGTCGTTAGAGTTTTAGCGATATTAATGGACATCAATTGATTTTTATATAGACAAGTGATAAACCTTAAAATTTTGTATAACCCACTTCAATATAAATAAAATGAGAACATCATCAATGTAGTCGAAGTCAATTAAATACGCATTATTAAGGATAACTCAAAAACTACTTGTCATATCTTAATCAAATTTATATGGAATCACATGAGAAGCACCAGCTTTCAAATAAAAAAAAACTTCAAATTTGGTTAACCTATAAAAATGTTCTGACACATGTAAAAATAACAGTCGAATTGAGTACCTCCTCCTTTGTTTGAAGTCGGTTAAAAATATAATTTATGTAGTTTCCTATTTTCTGTTTTAGTTGTAGATAAATTGAAGTTGCAACTGGAAATCTGTTTATAAACTAAACTGCTTTTAACAGTAATAAAAACTCTGCTTCTTATTGAAACTTAACTTTGACCCTTAGCACTTTGCAAAAGATTTGAGAACTGCCACAATTTACCACTGCTCAAGTTGAAAAGGGTGCGTCCTCTGCCAGGAAACTTGTGCGAGTTTACGCTCGATGGAGCCCTTTCTTTAAATTTATAAGCCCCAGTGCAATCTTTACTCGCTTCCGTTACAAGGGTTACTTTTTTAGTTGAAAGATAAGGATTTAATTAGTGACTTAATTATCTATACATAGAAATAAAATTGAGGTGTCTGTTATATTGAAATAACTGGCTTCTATTAAGCTCAGGGTTTATTTGAATGCTACTAAGTCAAAAATAACAATTTTTTAAAATGTTGTCTGTTTTTTTTATATAGGATAGGGCGACAAACGAGCACACAGTCCACCTGATGGTAAGTGGTTACTGTGGCACATAGACATCTACATCAATCCTCGTTTGCGAATCAAAATGCAGATGCGTTGTCAGCCGTGAGGACTAAGATGGAATGCCTCTTTTCCAGTAGAAAGGGTCTCCGGTTCTCTACACTCACCATACGAAACACAGGAGTGTTAAGTTGCTATTTGACCCTGGTATTCTGTGAGAGCGTGGTCCTTCCCCGGTCGAGCCGACCCGTTCGTGCTACAACTATACTATTAATATAGCTGCAGCATGGCTCTGCCACGTATCCTGTCTGTCTGTCTATGCTAATCTTCGGAACGGTTAAACCAATTGTAATAAAACTTTACGATCAGATCAATCAATCAATGAGATCAATGTCAGGAGGGTTACTTTTTATTTTATCCGAAAAACTATTTTTTTTAAAAACGTTACCACACTTGGATTTTCTCATGTATCGTAGAGGCAGTTCACAAACACAAATTGCACAAAGACAAACATCCAGACCCGGAACAATTATTTGTAAGCCATACAAATACTTGCTCTGTGCGGGATTCGAACCCGCGGCCCTCAGCGCAGCAACTCATTGCTATGCCACTGCGCCACGGAGCCGTCAACTTAAAGAATATTTTTGATTTTTGAAACGAAAAACGTATATATCTAAATAACGCTACATTGTGAGATCCTACGCAAGCGAAGCCAGGATGGGTCGCTAGTGATAAATAAAAACGTAGTACTACGTTAAACTCATTCATTAATTCATCACAGTCTAACAAAAGTTCACTGCTGATTATAGGAAATTGTAAAATTCCCACCCCCCTTTCTATAATAATTTTTTATCTTTCAATAGAATCTGTTTTACGCGACCAGTATATTAACCTTATATTAATCTTTCTAAAGGTTTAAATATAGGCCGTTTAATAAATTTATGGCGTGATCGTCTTAGTTAGGACCCTTATTTACGTTGTTTGTATAGTAACTTAGTTCTTTTAGGTGTCTCTTGGAAGAATGAATATTTACTAGAGCAGTCTAAAGCTGTTGTTAGTGCCTTATAAGCTAAAGAACCCCGTTCAGGAAGACAGAGCTCAAAAAAGGTTAAGAACATTAAATTGTCCCTATTCCAATTGTATCAGGTTTACATCAGTCAATTACTTATTAATTAATCCTTTTCCGCTTGATAGGGCTTGTCCCTAGTTGATGGGTATATTTGTCATAGTTTAAACGCCAGGTTAAAAGGCCAGTGAACCGTAGAGCATGTATGAAGGGAATAATGAAAGTGGACGAAGCGAAACAAGTATGTAAGAATTGTAGCAAGTGGAAAGAAGTGGTCTCTACTTACCCCTACGGGAAAGAGGCGTGATTATATGTATGTAAAACGCTTGGTAAGCGGGTTCTCTATCGCAGTATTATATTTTTGGTCGTTATTAAGAAGACGCTGCTGCCCGTCTTCTGGTTTGTTTCCCTCAGGAAATATTATAATAACAGTTTTCTTGCAATTTTTGTTAATATATTTTGTGTTGGAGTTCCCAGTAGACAGAAGTAGGAGTTAGTAGTTAGTTCATAGTTCATCTATACAAATAAATAAAATGGACATGTCTGTTTGTAAAGTCAAAATTACAGCATTTTACTAAACGCATATGAAAGTATATACGGTACTTATAACAAAAATACAATTTTTAATTTTTTTTTCTGTCTGTCTCTGTGTCTGTTTGTTCCGGCTAATCTCAGAAACGGCTGTACCGATTTTGACGCGACTTTCACTGGCAGATAGCTGATGTCATAAGGAGTAACTTAGGCTACTTTTATTTTGGAAAAAAGAATTAGGGTGTCGCGCAAAAATAAAAACCTAAATTACATGCTAGCGAAGTCACCGGGAACAGCTAGTCTGCATATATAATTCTTTTGTATGTGTGTTTGTTACTGAATTCCTACTAAAAAGCAGGACCAATTTTGATAAATAAAATTGTGTGTATTTGAGTAGGTCCCTGGATGGTTTAGATTAACAATTCGACCCCGTAGGTGGCGATATTGTTGAGATACAAAACCCCCTCGTGCAAAGCCGGGACGGACAGCTAGTAGCATATGATATTAATTAAGCAGCCAATTTTAGTTTAACACGGGTAGCCTTTATTAACTTCAGGCATTCGCCATGTGGCCAATGTGGCGGGCATATGACTGATATAAAACCGTCGAAGGCGGAAAAACGATAAAGAGTTATGATGGATTTTCTTCAGCTGACACGACACGGTAAGTATTCCATTTTATTAATGTCATAAATGTTGTAGGTAAAAGTATTTTGAGTTATTTTAAAACCATTAACTTAATTTTAGTAGAATGATGTAACTAAAAATTATAAATTCAAATATCATATCACCATAATACCGGCCTGAACTAGCAACTTAATACCGCCGTGGTTCTTATGGTGAGTGTAGAGAACCGGAGACTTTTTACTGGAAATGAGGCATTCCATCTTAGTCCTCAGGAGCGACAACGCATCAACACTACATTCGAACGGGTCAAAGCATCCAATTACGATCAGGTGGACTGATCTGTGTAACAAGAAATACTAAAGGTGAACACCGTTACGGAAGTAACTTTGGACAGAAAAACTTTCGTCACCTCTTTTTAAGAGGTTTGAGACCGATGAAGCTATAAACGCCAAAAGGCTTAACATTACTGAACATAATCAGAAACCAGAAGAATGTGGATTGTGTGTCGTTTGTCACTCTTATTCCATAAAAAAGATACCATATATAAATTTAACGGTGATGTGAAATGCACTCACCTGTGACGGTGACTTGTCTGGCAGTGACTGCTTTGTATCAGCATACACGACCCCTGTGTTCACCGAAGAGCTTGCTGCAAATGTATTACTAAAATTAGAACTTCTGCATAATTAAGTGTGACAATCGCAGAGTGGAAGCAGAAGGCCTTCCCACGAGTGTCCTAATCACCATCACCATTACAGCCCATTACCACAAGTCCACTGCTAAACAAGTGCTTCCCTCATAGATAGTCCCTGGTAGAGCCATGCTGCAGCAATATAAGAAGTATAGTAGCACGAATGGGTCGGCTCGACCGGGTAAGGACCACGCTCTCACAGAATACCAGCGTAAAATGGCAGCTTGACACTGCTGTGTTTCGTGTGGTGAGTGTAGAGAACTAGAGACCCATTTTACTGGAAAAGGGGCATTCTATCTTAGTCCTCACGGGTGACGACGCATCTGCATTTTGATTCACTAGTGAGGAGAGTTGTAGATGTCTATGGGCTTTAGCAACCACTTACCATCCGGTGGGCTGTGTGCTTGTTTGTCACCCTATTTCTCTAAAAAATTAAAAATAAACATATGATTATAGAGGATGAGTATTTTTTTTTTCAAAGAAAGATCCTCTTGCGTTACTTGCTGATTCTTCCCAGAATCAGCAAGTAGGTATTTTCCGAACCAGTGGTAAATTAAACAAAATAGTAACTTTCAATTACTATTGTTTATAATTTAAATTGAATAAAAAAGTTTCAATATCTATTTCTATTACCTCATAGGTTTGGAAAGCCGGTAGACAACCGCAGAGTTTTTTTAAATTATTACTATTGTGTTATTATCAGTAAGTTGATGCTACCAATCTAATGTTTCATATTTCTTCGGTCTAAGTAATAAGTTCTCGATATTTAATAAAACGCGTTACTTTGTGGAAATTTATTATAGAATAGAATGATTTTTTATTCAATATTAATTATTACATAATACTTATTGAAAGTCATTTTATATTTACCACTGGTTCGCTAAAAACCTCTGTCCTGGGAAGAACTAGCAAGAAACACAGTGGGACTTTTTTTTCAAAAATATTTCTCTTAACATTAATTTAGTTCATATAATTTTTAAATGATTTTTCATAGAACCAGCATGGTGGCGATCACCTTATTCCCAGGAGTTATTTTCATTCAAGTATTCCTTGATATTATAATAACCCTTTTTGTACAGTTTTCTTTAATAAAACTTTTAAACTTGTTTATTGACAAACTTTGAATATGTTCTGGGATTTCTCTTTTTACTAAAGATGTTAAAAATTGATAAGTTAATATCCATGTTATACAATAAAATGATGTGTCTTTCCTTGTTTGAAGAACACTTCCCACCCTACCGTAATTGCGTGTGGTATACATCACCATTTATCCCAAAACCACTACAATCTGCGGTGGCTGGTCGCCGAGTAAAGTAATTTTTTTGTAATCAAGGGAGGGCGGGAGGTGCTCTTCAAACTAGGTAAGACAAGTTTATTTTATTCCACGGAACTTAGATAATTATTTTTTAAGATCTTTTATGAATTCTCTTACACGGCGTTAGAGCTCAGTAGAAAGTTTTAATTTATTTTTACCTTTGACCAAAATTTATGCTGACACGGCCATGTACTCAAGAACTGCAATTTAACCGAACGTTGTCCGAGTTATAAACCTACCAAAAAACTACTCTTAAATTTTGTATATTGAAACGGTTCATAAATTTTGTTACCAAAAATAATTTATCGTTCATATTTTAAACTTGAGTCAATTTCTGTCGGAGGCATAATAAATGATACCCAATCGTAAAATTTTATTGGGGTATATTAACAGAGCTATGGAAGAGTGACGTCTCCTATGTTATATTCAAAAGGAGGCCTACATACCCTGTTATATTGTATGTGTGATAATTTACTAAATAAACTATTAATATTGTTTTGTTATATATTATTTATTTATCATACACACGTGGTAGATCAGCGTTACAGCTATATTATAGCAGGAATGGCTCGACTCGACCGGGGAAGGACCACACTCTAACAGAATACCAGCGTAAAATAGCAGTTTAATCCTGCTGTGTTTCGTATGGTGGGTGATTTTATTTATAGGATAGGGTGACAAACGAGCACACAGTCCACCTGATGGTAAGTGGTTGCTGCGGCCCATAGACATCTACATCTATCCTCGTTGCGAATTAAAATGCAGATGCGTTGTCACCCCTGAGGACTAAGATGGAATACCTCGTTTCCAGTAAAAAGGGTATCCGGTTCTCTACACTCACCATACGAAACACAGCAGCATTGAGCTGCTATTTTACACTGGTATTCTGTGAGAGCGTGGTCCTTCCCCGGTCGAGCCGATCCATTCGTGCTACAACTATACTACTAATTAGTTGCAGCATGGCTCTACCACGTAAAATGATCCGTAGAGAACCGGTGATCATTTTTTACTGGAAACGAGGTATTCCATCTTAGTTCTCACGGGTGACAACGCATCTGCATTTTGATTCGTCATCGCGGATAGATGTAGATGTCTACGAGCCAAAGCAACCAGGTGGACTGCGTGCTCCCATAGTTTGTCACCCATATTCTATAAAAAAAATCTGTGCTACGGTTGTTAGTTATTTGAACTATATGTATACCATTGTCACTTATAATATACGATACTATTTATTATGGATAATGATATAAAGGAAAAGAGAGCAACCTACCTGCAGACAGCTCTGGTGCCCGCTTTTTCAAGTCAGTGTTCTCCTTCGCCAATTCTCTTTTTTCTGTTTTCAAAGAAGTCTCCTTGCTGAATTCTGCCTGACCGGACGCTACTAGCAGAAGCAGTGTCACCTGTGAACGTTATTGTATTGTTTTAAAATAAAACTATAATCTTGGTAGCTCAGGGGCTAGGCGTTCGCTGCGAATTTTACAGTAAACAAGTAACCCAGGTACGATCCCTGTTGGCACCAATGATTTTATTCATTTCTATTTTAATTGCTGATTCACTACATACTTAGAGACGAAGGAAAACATTATGAGGAAACCTGCATGTCAGATAAAATAAAAATATTTCAAAGACACGTGAAGTCCGTCAACATGCATTGGAAATGGAGTTTGTGTATTATTATATGTACAATTAGTTTATATAATTTATTAGTATAAATAAAAACATTTAAATACATTTTTAAGTCAATAAAAATATACACAGATAAAATAATCTATATTTCATTAATAATTAGCAGAGTAAATAACAAAAGAGCATATATGGCCGGTGTAAAAACATCAACTACCGCATATCGTCGCGTGGGTATCGAAAAAGGTGACAAAGAAAAATAAACCAGGAGATTGGCAGTAGTATCTTCTTAATAATCACTAAAAGTTAAAAAAAAATTTGTTGCCAACCCACCAGCCAAGTTATGGGAAAGTCTATGTTCAACGGTGGACTTTGACAGGCTGTTACAGCTACAGCTAATGGCTGGTCGTAACCAGAATACCCTACGTTGGGAAGCTTTGTAATGACAGTAAATTAGCAGCATTTGTTTTCATAGATAGGCACAAGCCTCATCTTATTTCCAAGAGAGATGTTATAAAGAATGAAGTAGTTCGTTACACTGCTCTAGTAGGACTTGACTAGGTTTATAGGTCTCCGAATAGTTAATGATTTCTAAGACGGACAGATTTCCTTTCGATGTTTACCTTCGAGCACGTGGTGTATCAGCAGTTAAGTGCCCACGGAGATCGAACTCAGGTTGTTTCTGCTTGCATTATTTACTCGTACATTAAATACTTAAAAATACAATTTATTAATCAAAGGTATAATTAAACCGTGTAGTCGCAGTGTAACAATATCCACTACCCCATATCGTCCCGTGGAGGACGTAAGAGGTGACAGTGGGAAGTTAAAACAGATGATGGACAGTAGCACCTTCCTGATGATAACAACACAAAATAATATAACACAGCGGTTGCCAACCCGCCTGCCAAGCGTGGCAACTATGGCAAAATCCTCGATGAGGCAATCTATGGGAGAGCCCTATGTTCAGCAGTGGACTTTTATAGCCTGTAATGGATTATAATTAAAACGTGTTATTATATCTTTAAAAGAAAAATGTAAGTGTATATAAACAAATATTTTTGTTTTTTTTTGTTTGTGTAGGTTACGGATTTTATAGCGTTTATTTTTTATGAAATCCGGACTTATATTGAAATCCAAGATTTAGCACACCATTGCAATATTTCAAGATAGTCAATGAATCAATATTCTTTATTGTACATCAATATAAATTTAAACAAAAAAAAAAAACTTTCGTAAAAGGTTAAAGCCGGTCAAAGAATTAAAAATATTATTACAAAGAGAAAGAATATTACAATGGGGAGGGAATGGAGAAAATCCATTTTCTCCTGTATCGTGGAGGCGCTATACATACATAAACTGCTTAAAGGTAGATCCAAAACAATTATAATACGTCGTAAAAATACTTGTTCCGTGCGGTATTTGAACCCGAAACCCTGCAGCACCGCAGCCATTCTTAAACGTCATACTAAGGAGATTCCAAATGCCGAGAGTTCAAAATAGGTTAAAAATAAACGCTATATAATTAATCTAATTAAAGTCATAAATTTTTCCCTCATTAAAAATCAATGTGCAGATGCGATATCACCCCTGAGGACTTAGATGTAATGTCTCCGATTCTCTACACTTACCAAACGAAATACAGCAGTATTGAGCTGCTATTTTACGCTGGTATTGTGAGAGCTGGTACTGTGAGAGCGTGGTTCTTCCCCGGTCTTGCCGACCCATTCGTGCTACAACCATAATATAGCTGCAGCGTGGTTAAACCACATTAGATCTTGTCTATCTCTCTAAATTTAGCTTAGCCAACATACTTTAAAACGTCACTTACATGACATTAGTTAATATAAAAAAAATATAAAAAAAACAACATACACCAACCGTCAACCTCATCATGTTTGAACACTATCACTTAAATCACTATTGAATTCCCGGCACAGCGTGCCGACGTATCACGAAGGTATGATTACGCTGCGAGTGCGCAACGCGTCTTATATGGCCTTTGCACATGTAACTTGCACCGAGTATACTGCTGACATCGAGTATTGGCACCCAGAGGTTATATATAGTTATTGTATTATATATAGATATATTATATATAGATATTATATTATATATAAATATTGTACGTTACTATTACGTTATCTAAACAATAATAACAATTTTTTTTATAGAATAAGATATATATTTTGGGATTTTTTTTACAGAGTAAGGGCGACGAGCAAAAAACGAGTGCACAGTTCCGATGGTACCCGTTCACCCGCTGTTGCTGTGGCACATAGAAATCCACATCTATCCTCGATTTGGAATAAAAATGCAGAAGCGTTGTCACCCCTGGAGAATAAGTTGGAATATCTCGTTTGGAGTAAAAAGGGTCTCCGTTCCTCTACAGTCACCATACGAAACACAGCATTAAGAGATTATGGTTCTTCCCCGCTAAAACTGACTCAATCGCTCTACAACCATAATATGCAGCATGGCTCTATCACGTAGAGAAAATTTGCTAATACCGAAAAAAATGCAAATAAATATCAATGGAAATAAACAAAATTTAACGCAAGATGTGCGAACTCGATTCACCAGGTGGTAAAACTCCTTTCCTGGCTGGGAGTTCATCTGGGCAGATATCATCAACTTACCTATATCTGTTGCCAAATGTCAGTGCTTACCTTGCTTCGTTTTGGTCTGAAAAGTTCAGAGAGTCAGTATATTTACAGGCTGTGATATATTCTTTTTTAGTTCTCAGAGGTGACATGTGTATTGTCCTCAGATATACGAGTATTAACAAGTGACCTAAGATTTTTTTTCGGTTTTAGCTAGATTAGGCACCAGTTTTTCACCTAACAATTCGATTGTTTCAAATGTAAGCACATATTTTTTGTTGCTATGTTGTTTGTATATTGTTGGTGAATATAAATACAATAAATAATATAAATAAAAATAATAAAATAAACAGAATAAATAAAAAAATAAAAATAAATTATCTATAGTCTGGCTTCACACGTCTGTTCGCGTTCGGGTGGCGTACGATTTAATGCCATTCTATTCCCGGGCTTCGGGCTCCCGCATACCTCTTCCCTATCCCTATCTGTCTATTGTCTACTTTCTGTGATGTCAGTGTTGTTATCAGACAGTTATGTAAAGGCCGCGAGCTATCCATTCAATAGTTTGAATATCCCAATTGACATCAAAGGGACATAATGACAGAAAAAAAAAACATACTGTATTGGTTTTTACATCGATAAAAAATTATAACGCAATTACAATCTTAAAAAAATATTCAATAACAGATTTGACCGGGTAGCAGCTATATCTGACAATAATTTCGTTCAATGTGTAGGTACATAGAATTGTTAAATTTCAAAATCCTTTATTTGCTTTTACGGAGTATTAGTTTGAGTTGACAATACACAGAAGTAACAGAGAGCTGGTCCCTTTAATTAACTGTAACAGCGCGTCGGCTCTGTATTAAAACCATTAATTACAGTCACAGTTGCGTTAAATCCATTATGAGTGAAATTACTTTTGTAGTAGAATTTTCATATTGGTGGACATCCATGTGGCTTAGAGAATATTAAAGATGTTTATCATGTTGCAGACAGAAAGTAACGCAAGACAAAGATTTGTTTTCCATATAGATATATTTGTCTATTATCTAAATGAATGTTTATAGTTGAAAGCATTAAGTATTTGCAAGTATGGTCTACAAATAACCATGCCGTTACCTCATGTCATACCATGGGTGGAAACAGGAGTTGGGCAGCAGCATCTTCCTTATAACAACTCAAAACGATAAAACTGCGGTTGTCAACCTGTCTGCAGAACGTGGCAACTAAGGTAAATATCTATGAAGCAATCTATGGGAAGGGGGGGGGGGCAAAGTTCAGTAGTTGACATTGGATTAGCTGAATGGATAAATGGATGGCTTGAGTTTTTGGTCTCTTAAAAGGACTGATACTAAATACTAATGATGCAGGAGAAATTCGTTGTATGAAGATAATAATGCTAATAATTAGGGTTCCGTAGCCAAATGGCAAAAAACGGAACCCTTATGGATTCGTCATGTCTGTCTGTCTGTCTGTCCGTCCGTATGTCACAGCCGCTTTTTTCCGAAACTATAAGAACTATGCTGTTGAAACTTGGTAAGTAGATGTATTCTGTGAACCGCATTAAGATTTTCACACAAAAATAGAAAAAAAAAAACAATAAATTTTGGGGGTTCCCCATACTTAGAACTGAAACTCAAAAAATTTTTTTTCATCTCACCCATTCGTGTGGGGTATCTATGGATAGGTCTTCAAAAATGATATCGAAGTTTTCTATATTATTTTTTTCTAAACTGAATAGTTTGCGCGAGAGACATTTCCAAAGTGGTAAAATATGTGTCCCCTACCCCTGTAACCTCTAAAATAAGAGAACGATAAAACTAAAAAAAATATATGATATACATTACCATGTAAACTTCCACGGAAAATTGGTTTGGACGAGATCTAGTTTAGAGTAAATAGTTTTTTTTAATACGTCATAAATCGTAAATTATGTTACTTGCTGCTACGGAACCCTTCATGTGCGAGTCCGACTCGCACTTGGCCGCTTTTATTTTTGTGACGCTCTTCGTAGGGAAGCTTAAAATGTTTGCCTTAGTAGTACGGCAGTAGTCGAATGATTCAAACCTAATACTTAGCGTTACTCTCACTTGCAACTTAGTTAATATTTATCCAAGAGCACAGGCTCTATTTGACAATACCAAGCCAGCAGAGTAAATACACAACAATAGCTACGACACAAATGCGAATTTTATAGAAGTACGAAACGACCGACTTAAATAAATCATCTAAAGAAATCCCCCTTCATAATTCGTAGTGGGAGGAGTATCGACATAAAGATGTCACTCCATGCCTAGAGTTGCGTCTTACACGAGTGAAGGAGGAGCGTGTTATTGATGGCAACAGGGACGTCGTGTTCAGAGGAAATCTACGACATGTAGCGCATTTGTTCACTTCCCGTTGCTTGCGGTTAATGTTACGTTGTAGTGCGTCGTTTGTCAGATGCTTTTGATAATTTTTTTTTGTTTATATGTCGTAATAGTAACCTTAAAATATTTTTTATTGCACTTAATGTTACTTGACATCTATATTCATTTTTATTTTGGTGTTTTCATTTTTGTTAATAATAAATGTTTTCTAAAAATTTGCTAAATATTTTTTATTAAATACTACCATTGAAACGAATTAGTGTACTGTTTTAGTGTGCTAGTACATCAATATTCAATATGCAACGCTCTTAACTATATTTTGGTTAGGTTGTAGTAGTTACCTCTACTTTATCAGCTTGTAGAAGTCCACTGCTTCCGTTATACGCTCGTATTTTTTATATTGCATGACGCATTTTTACTAATGAAAAAGAGATGTGCCGAATAGATATTGACTTTTAATAAAAAAGCTAAAAATTTTGAAAAAAAAATTCTATTACTAATTGTTTATTTTTAACCGACTTCACAAAGGATGAGGTTTTTAATTCGACTGTATGTTTTTTTCTGCGTGTGTTCCACTATATTTTCGCAGATTGTGAACCAGTTTTGATGATTCATTTTTTATTAAATAGGTTATACTTCAAGGGTAGTCTCATATAAATTTAGAGAAAAAATTCCGCCCCTAAGAGATTTTTTTAATTGATAGGGTGACGAACGAGCACACAGTCCACCTGATGGTAAGTGGTTGCTGTGACCCATAGACATCTATATTTATCCTCGTTTGCGAATCAAAATGCAGATGCGTTGTCACCCGTGAGGACGAAGATGGAATGCCTCCTTTCCAGTAAAAAGGGTCTCCGGTTCTATACACTCACCATACGAAACACAGCAGTGTTAAGCTGCTATTTTACGCCGGTTTTCTGTGGGAGCGTGGTCCTTCCCCGGTCGAGCTGACCCATTCTTGCTACAACTATACTACTAATATAGCTGCAGCATGGCTCTACCACGTACAAATAAATAACTTCTTTTTCAGTCTGTTAAGTCAGTTTTTACTTTTTGTTAAAGGTTATAATTATATTGTAAAAAGCATGTAAAATTTCAAAAAAAATACTAAAATAAAAAGATATATGACTAAAATAAAAATTGATAATACAAATTTAATCGACGAAAGTACGTATTTACGGCAAAAGAGGTATTTTGAAAACTATTATTAAAGTTATTGTAAACGACACCAATTCGCACAATGAGCACCAGCGGGGTCATTCCAGTGGCAGTACGAACGGGCGGGGCGACCGCCGCCGCACGGCGAACGCTCCTAATTACGTACGTACGAAACCGGACTGCACGTGCGAATGATAACGTAATTAGGTAATGAGGGAGAAATTTCGCCTCGCTTCGCACAGTTCTAAAGCCATTAAGTAGAGCTTTAATTTTAGCTGCGGGATTCACTTGTTCGTTCGCGGATTCCGTTGGCACTTAATATTTTGATCCCTCTAACTTATTATAATTACTGTTTTAGTTTTAGCTTAATCTCCGGAAATGAACCATAGTTTTAGATTTAACTAACACTTTTATTGCTTTGTATCTTCTACCTTTATACTGTTATATATCGTTACTGTCAAAAACTATCAAAAGTCCACTGGTGTACATAGGCCTGCCCCATAGATTACCTTATATTAGCAATAGTTGCCGCGTTGTCAGGCGCAGTGTCTACCGTAGTTTTTCTAATGACTTCAAAAAGGAGCCGGTACTCAATTCGACTGTATGTTTTTTATGTGTGTTACCTCATAACTTCTTACTGGGTGGACCTACTTCGATAATTCTTTTTTTATTTGAAAGCTGGTGCTTTCCATGTGGTTCTATATAAATTTGATCAAGGTCTGACTAATAGTTTCTGAGTTATTCTTAATAATTTATATTGAAGTCGGTTGTACAAAATTTTAATTATAAATTATTATTTAATTTTTTACTTGTTATTAGAAAAACGTTGAT